TTTCTGTGATAGTGCAGAGCGTTGCGCGGGCGCAGGTTTAGTGAAAGCGATTACGCAAGTCATACCGATTCACGAGCCATTACGTTGTACCGGGAAGTTTGACATCGATCTTAGATGCTGTATATAGAAGACATTTGTTAAGTAATGAGGAATTGACTTTTTTTTTTTTTTGAGGGACAAGATCATCGTTGATCATCGTCTCTCGCATAAGCCGAGGGAGAGTGTCAGACTCTTACTGACTAAAACCTATCTCGCTGCTTTTCCTGCTCCGGGATATCTTTTAAAATCAATGTCAGCTATGCCGTAGGTGTGGAAGCGTGACCCTTGGTGAACGTTAAATAGGTACTTGGTATGCTCAGGATTTTTTTTATCATATACTGGCTTTTGCCCGTGACTCTGTTCGCATGGAATAGTGACTTCCTGCTGATTTTTGGTATAAAAACTATCCTATATCCTTTCTCGAGTTCCAAACTATGACTGTACCAAATTTCACAAAAATCGGTTCAGTAGTTTAGGCGTGAAGAAAAGACAGACAGACCTAGTTACTTTCGCATTTATAATATTAGTTTGGATTATTTTAAGAAGCATAAATGTTGTTTTATTTCAGGCTTTAAAGGGCCATATCAATTACTATAAACAAATGCATTATTTTTACACAACATGAATGTTTCTTATATTTTCTATTGTAACTCATTTTAATCAACTTTATCCTCATCCCGATCATTCTCCCTCGACGCATTATTCCTTATAACAAGAACCTTCGTTTGAATTTACCAGATACCCTCAATAAAAAAAACTATTAACCGAAAGAGCTAGAGTATTAGTCATTGATCTTTTTTCTATTTGTTTCTATTGAACAACGTGTAAATAAATAATGTTTTGATAAACACACACATAACAACAACTTATAAAGGCCACGCTTCTAACAAGTGAGAGTGAAATAATCATTATGGGTAATAATGACCCTTCTTTCTACGACTATGTACAAGACAATTAATCTTTACTAATGTTGTAATGAGAAGATTCCGTTTGTTTGTTTGTATGTACTGAATAGTCATGTGGAACAACTAGAACCGCTTACAAACTATGTTTCCCGGATTCATGATTAAAGACCTAGGTTGAAGGTGTAGTCTTGCAGCTGATATCCTGATTAATGATCATGTTTAGAGGAAGCTTTTTTTAATACGATAACAACCAATGTCTTCTTCAGCCTTGGGCGTGGCTTAACAACCTATTTAACCGACTTCAAAAGTATGAGGATATTCTAAATTCGATCGTATTTTTTTCGTATGTATGTTTTGCGTTTAAGTGTCATTGTAGTTCCATAAAATTGGTCATTCTGATTATAAATGTAGTAGATACTCCAGGGAACTCTTCAAAAATCAACAGAATGACCTCTGCGTTGAAGTTTAAGTGATGTATACTAACTCATCTTCCTCAGTAACCACACAAATCAGGGCAGACATGCGGCCTTACCATGCCTCGGCATGGAACAGAAGAACCGAAAGGTATTCTTCAGCCAATAAGACCCTACTGTCTCTCGCATACAAGTAGATGGACGATTTTCTCTATACAAAAAAGTCTCTAACTGACTAAAAACCACCCCGTACCTTCTCCTGCATCTAGCCATGCCACGGTACATTATTTAAAGCGCTTAGGTACACCCACGACCAATATTTCGACAAAGAAAGTTCGGAAATTGGACACGGGTGGAACCGAAGGCGGAGAGTTGTTTTGATACACATATTGTGTAACACCTCCATTAGTATAAGTATGTATGTATGACGTGACGAGTTGATTTGTTTTTGTTTTGAGGTTATTATTTGAGTAATAGTAACAAGATTATTAGTTGGTCATAAGTTATAATCACCTTCTTTCCTGGTGTAAGTAGAAATGTATTTAATGCGATGCGTTATGTAAGTAAAATGTAGATTATTCTCGTTTTTTACGAAAAAGGTCGTGATGCTACCGATATTATTTAGATTAATAAATCGTCAATAACACCCTCTCAAATTCGATATATATATTTTTTTTCAATGACAAGATATTCAGGCTTCTTCATTCAAGAGTTTAGAAAAAAAAAAAAAAATTCGACACTTAAATTTCGAATAAAAGAACATCAATAAAACACAATGAGTATACGCCTCGGCACAAGACATTAAGACAAAAACGAGGGCTTGCTTCAACAATCGATTACCACGGTTTTACAAAACACAACTGGTATGTATATTTCAACGTTGATAATTACAGAAAAAATAAACTATCGAAACATCGTTTAATTTACAGTTTACAGCCCAATAACCAGTGTAATATCAAATCTGAATATTTATAACAGAAAGTCAAACTTGGATAATTTTAATTAAGCAATTAACTAATCGTATTTATCTAATTAACTTTGGTTACACGCCTTGTTTTCCGAAACGAAATATGTACTAAAGAATTATTTAAGGAATCGATAAATGACTTCAAGTGTGTTTTGTTCCTAAAGAACAAAAGCTTTTTTCAAGAATAGTTTATCTTTTTGGAAGCCTGAACATGTTTTGTTAAAACTTGTGTAGTATTCTTAAAAACAAACGTGCCACACACCCGAAGAACTAAAAAAAGTTGCGCTAATAAGAAATATCAGAAAACCGGCGTCAAACAATCACATCGCTATGTTTCGCCGTGTGAGTGACGTTGTCGGAGGCCCAATCCTTCTTTTCCTCCCTGATCCCTAAATCTCCAAAGCCCCTAATCCCCAAATGGCCGGTAATGCACACGGGATTGCTTACGGGCGGCGCCGATTGCTTACGTCAGATAATCTATCGGCGCGTTTGCCATCACATAAAAAAATAAGTAAACATAAACTAAAATAGTTTCTATCTCGCACATCGTTTCCACAAACTCTCTATTTCTACGCGTACGTTCAATTTTATAACGATTATTACCCATTATAAAATTCATCTTCAGCTATAAATTTTATTGTTGCTATAAACGGCGCCATTGCTAAGGAGGGTTAGAGATCAAATTGAATGTAAAACAATTTACTAAATACCCCTTTATATAATGGTAACATTGCTTTTAGCAAAATTATTAGTACTTAGAAATTTTTTTTTTTGCTCTTTATGTAAAAGTTTTTTCATAACGCAATCTGCGCCGCATATTGACTAGACAGACTAGACTAGGGATTTGAAACATCGTGGACTTCCAAATGCGTTGCCGTTTTAGGAATAAGATATTTGGGGATGGGGGAATAGAGGGGCTGATTCGGTCTCCGGTAAACTCACTCACTTTAAGAATCTAACTCTATCTAGCATTGATGAAAAAAATTTGGGTAGGAACTAGCCAATCATTATTTTTCATTTATCTAGGTCAAAAATAAATTATTTTGGCTTTTAAATACCCACAATAAATTATTCAAAATTTAATCATACTTTTATTTATTTATTGTTTTGATGGTAAACTTAATTCTAGATTGTTTCTAGGTAACTATTTAATATTAAGTAGGTAAGCTGTTTAATGTTGCGATCACATACAAAATTTATAGAGAAGTATCATTTTTGTTGGAAACTTCTGAACTTTTTAAGTGTCTGAACTGACAATTGGAGAATGCGAGACCCATTAAGCCCTGTTACATACTATGTATTATGCAAATAAATAAAAAGTAAACAAATCTGCGTTTACTATGACGGAAGGCCAAGCGCACATACGGCTTTACAACAAAATAAGCATACCATTTATTATGAGCTCTCTTTGTATATTATTTTCCTATATTCAACGGTCAGTTTATATTGGTTTCTACATATTACTTCCAGGCACATAAAACTTAAGGAAAATGCAATAACTTGATGTAACCAAGCTAAATACTAGTCAATGTCACTTCCTCACTATTTCCTTATTATTATTTTTTTGCTTTATTCAAGTTATGCAGTCATAAAGTAAGCCTTCTTGAAGATTTTGGATTTGAATCATAACTACTTTTTTTGTTTTGTTTTTTTACTCTGCCCGTGTTCAGTATTTTTCTTATTAATAAGTATACTATATAAATAAGTTATTAAATTAATTAATAACTTTAACTTGAAACTGCCCCAGATGTGCTGACAGCTGCTATGCAACCAAAGGATGTCAGGAAGAGATCGCAGAAAGCGATTATGACCATCCTTAGCATTTTAACTTTAAGTAAATATAATTTAAATAAATAGGTAATATAGAATAAATAAATAGATAACTTTCTACTACAGCTATTTCTATTGATACATTGATACAATTAAGTCTATAAGGTGACGTAACGTAAGCTTGTTTTTTACGGACTATTTTGCTTGAACAACATTTTGACAGCTATATTTAATTGATGTGTCATTTTTGACACTTCACCGGTTACTGTAACCGGAATGCCTTATTTAAGTTTGATACCTAAGGGTTATTTTTAGGAAAAAAGGGGGGAAAATGACTAATGCGTTCTCCCATGATGTGTGGGACGAGAAGGAGTCTATAACTATTTTCTGTTGACGATTTCTATTAGAAAATTGGATATTTACCTCATTCATAAATAAATTATTTCAACTTTTACAACTTATTACACCTACCTCACTATTTATTATTTTTTTATTGAAACGTTGCCCAACACTAGGTTTTTCAGCCGGGGTTGAGGGGTAAGCGCAATGAGGCACCGCGATTAGTTTACTCGTTCACAAATACCAACGCAAAATCACGCCAATTCCTTACACATTACTGTTGAATTTTCCCTATCAACATACCTGAACGAGTCCAAATCTCTCTCGCTCACGATTTGTTATCAATGATGCTCAAACAAAAACAGACTTAACGCACGTCTCTTTTAAGTCGTTACTCAATTAACACTGAACCAGCCTCAACAACAACGTAAAACAAACTAAAATCTATTCACCTTGCAGTTCAATATTGCTTAACAAACTGCAAGACTTAAAAAATCTTACTAGATGATAATCTAAAACCATCTCAGTTACAAACACAATACAGTTTAATATAGCGTAGCAACATACCTGAGTCAGTCCAAGTCTGTAGCTGGATACGTCGAGGTCCAAAGACAGCAGCATGTCATCGACAATCTGTCGATCGGAGAGAGCTGGTTGTTGGACTGTGTCCGAGTCTTCATTGTCCGTCGTTGCTAGGAGACGGTACCTGTTTTAAAAGAGGATTTATTTTTTGTATTGTCTACTGTTTTGTGGGTGCTTTTACAAACATACAATTTCACATACACATCATACCCAGACCCGGAACAACAATTTGTGGATCACACAAGTTGTCCCGTACGGGAATCTCTATGGAAAATTAAATATTTGTTTGTGTGCTTTTCACAACATTAGACTAATTGCTTACTGCTGAGCAAAGACTCTTCTCACACGGAGAAGATTAAGGCATTAATCACCACGATTTCTGAAAGCGGATTGGCGATTTCAAACTTGCAATTAGAAATTAAAATCTGTTGCAGCGGGTGTAACCCCGAGAGCAGCTACTAGTAGCTAATCATACATAATTATAGAGTATACCTTCTCGCAAACTCTGACAGCGGCATGTGTTCCGGGAACCCTTGTTTGTACAGCCGCGCCGCGTCCAGCAGTTGGAAGCCACGAAACTGAGGGACAAAATAATATTGTTCATGTAAAGACCAAATGAATATACTGCTGCGTGCGCTCAACGCCATGTCGCAACATATAGATTTGTTTCACTGCACTATGAATGAATTCACTCGGACCGCATATAGAATAACTTCCATGGTAGATTAAGTTGTTAAATATAGGAAAGTTTATGTAATTTTATTTTATAATTAGTATGTAAGGTTTCTTTGTATTGTTTTTGATTTTATGTACTTCTTTATAATGTTACTACACTATTGTATTAGGAAACTCCTGTGATAATAGTTGTATGTTGATGATAAATAAATAAATAAATAAACATTTCTATTATAGTATGATCATGGATCAATTTGAAGTGCAATTCTAAACAAAAATTCTCTGATTTGAAAGCAAAAGAAAATGTACAAGAATAATATAATAATTACTGACTAAGAAAAAATTACAATTAAATTAAATAAATACTTATTTAGAAAAAAAAAGTTAATAATCATAATAACGCGCAATACAACATATACCAAAATTTCATTACAGCCATTTTCGATCTTTCGATTGCTCTAGGCTGAAGCCGCGGTACTTTATAGCGCATGCCCCACAATCTCGGCAGAACATCAGCCTTGTAGGGCCCCATCTATAGTACTCTAAGGGCTGATTTTTCAATGGTTAGATAAAAGTTACTTGGCGAATAATTATGATGCTGTCGCGTCAGAATAAAGTTTGTATAAGACAGTGACACTGACAGCAACAATTTTATTCCTTAGATATCTGACTATCGCAAAATTAGCCCTAAGATACCTATACACATAAAAATTGAATAGTGACAACATAGTAACCCTTATACTGATAGTAACAAGGCATATTTTCGAATTACCTGCGACCTGAGTAGCGGCACGTTGAGGTCGTGCAGGGCGTCGTGCGGTTGATGCGCGAGCAGACAGCAGACGAAGCCGAGCCCGGCGGGCCCGCAGCGCCGCAGCGTGTCCACGATGCCGTCCGCCACGAACTTGGCCTGCAGCGCCGTCGACCGACGCTTCATGCCTGCCGTACCTATATGTTACATCATTGATTATTATTAACATTAGTCTACTTATATTCTGTCTTCTTCATAAGTCAAAATCATTTCATTCAATAAGACCACAGTAGGTACTTTTGAACGTCAAGACTTCAACATCTCTGTTTCACTAACTTTAAAACTTTCGCGTTTCATGTTAACAACCTATAATTACGCGGGTATTAACGCGAAAAGTAATTATTTAATTACCTTGGAAGGCTTAACGTTTCGACCTGGGCGTGGTTATTATAGAAATTATGTCTAATATATTATATAAGATAAAAAAATTAGCATACATATGTATGCATGTGATGCAGAAAATAAATTAATAAATATCTACTATGCCTGTGCATGCTAACCAAAACTATCCTAAACATTTTAACAAACTTTTCGAGGAAAAATAACCTGTCGATCACATGCCGAATTAATCCGTGTGTAGGGGCTTAACACTTTGCGTACAGTGCGGCCGACGTATCTTGGCGAGTCTGAAGTTAGCCGATTATCTGCGCAGTACACAATTTTGTTCCTAAAAGATCCATTGCTCAGACAAACGGCTAACTTCAGACTCGACAAGATACGTCGGCCGTAATGTAGCAGTCAAGTACTCAGCGAGTGCGTTATTCACTGAGCACTTGTAATAAATGATTTGACTATGTCTTTGAAAATAGATGTTAATTTACGTCTTTGGTATAATTATGGTGATATAAAGGTGAGTGGAGTATTTATTAAGGGTCCAAATTGTACTTATTGTAATTTAATTAACATAAGTCGAAACTAGTGACGTTAGGTATTGAATTTTATTCTTTCAAATATCAGTAGAGATTGCCTTGGATCGTAGTTGTCTAAGAACATGCTGAACATTGGGTTTGGAGGAATATTATTTCAACAGTATAAAAATAGGTCATTAACTAAAGTGCTAAAGACTTTTTGTGTATAATGTATTAGAGTAAGATAGAGTGTAGCGGACCGGAGGTGAGCGTCCTCCGTATGGAGCTGGCGCGGCGCAGCGTGGCGTCCCCGGCCGCCGCGCTCCACGCGCTGGGCCCGCACGCGCCGCGGGACCACGACGACAGCCGACCTATGTCCTCGCTGGAAACATTATATACAATGTATAACATTTTTTTATTTTTTTAAACATTGCCCCACACCAACATTTTCTCCTGTATCGTGGGTGCATTTACAAACATACAAATTCACATACACATCACACCCAGACCCGGAACAACAATCTTTGGATCACACAAAGACTTGTTCCGTGCGGGAATCAAACCCGCGACACGTTGCGCGGCAGCCAGTTGCCCAGCCACCGCGTCAACCGACATTCTCAACAATCAAAATAAATGATAAGCAACAAACGTCGCTCATAAACACACCAGAATTATAAGTGCAATGCCAGCCTTAAGGGAATAATAATTTCGAAGATTTAGGGATTGAAGAGAGATAGGAAACGAAGATTGGGTCTCCGAAAACCTCACTCACACTGCGAAACACATCGATGTGATTGTCTCACGCTAGTTATTTGTGGGGCCATGTTATCAATCCGGTCGATCCGACCCATTCCACCACCACGAGACCACGGCCTCACAGAAAACCGGTGTGAAACAAGCACAGCGTTGTGTTTCGTCGTGTGAGTGAGGTTACCGAAGGCCCAATCCTTCCCCTCCCCGGACCCTTACCCAATACCTAAATATCCAAATCCCTAAAAGGTCGGCAACGCACTCGTAACTCTGTTGCGTTGTCGATGGGCGGCGCTGATTGCTTACCATCAGGTAAACAGTCTGCTCGTTTGCCGTCTTCTTACATAAAACAAGCACGATTCTATCACTAATTAGCACCAATCACTAATTACTTATCACAAATAAAACTATAAATGTAAACGTTGGTGAGAATGTAAAAATGTAAGTTTGTTAATATTTCACGCAAAGACGGCTGGACCGATTTGGTTACAATTTGATATGTACACAGGCTTTTTTAACAACATACCACGCGGACGAAGCCACGGCCGGAAACTAGCCAAACTCCATTACTTACTTCTGACTCTCCTGCAGTAATGTCAAAGCCTTCTTCGTGACCGGGTTCTCTCGGCTGGCCTTCACCCAGCCAGTCACATCGTACAGAACTGGATTTGTTCCCTGAAAGACAATAAGAAACTTATAACTTGAGTATAAAGTTGATTATCCTTTGAAACTTATTTAACTTAACATACACATATACTTACCTGTTATTGTGAAATGAACTTTATCTAAATAACCACAGAGTTGTTATTTGTTTGTATAAATACTTTACAGTTAGTTTCCTCTTTTAAATTATCCAGAGGCAAATCGACCTAACTTAAAATACCAAAGCTCGACATTTTCAACTTTATAACAATATAATAAGGCTCAAAATACAATACCAACCTGCAAATGCTGGAGGACAAACTGCCTCGCATGGGGGGCTTTCTTGATGAGGTAATGTGTGTGGTTGGGGGCGCCGTAGTGCGTCATCACACGCTCCAGGAACGTATCGTCTGATGAGCCGGGGTACATTGATTCTTCGTCAAGAAGCCTGGAAATATAAATATTAAATAAATTAGGTAAGTTTTTTCTGACAAAATCATACTTTAACGTAGTATTTTTTTTTTTTTTAATAAATCATTGCCTATCATTTGGGTTTTCTCCTGTGTTGTAAACATTTTGAGCAATGTTTTTTTAGGGTTCTAATCTATTCTTATAGAAAGAGGGTATTTTACATGCAAAATTTTAGCTATAATTTACAACGTAACTTTTATGTATTAGTAGGTATTAGTAGTAGTAGATATTTTTCGGTAGAAGTTTTGAAAAACCATAATAAAGGAAGTATGTACTTACATAAAAATATGTTTGTTACTGAAATTAATGTTTCTGGTCTGGGTGTGTTATCTTTTTTTAATATGTACCCACGACACAGGAAAAATCTTCTGTAATGTTGAATTGTTGTACTCACCATAACAATCCTCTGCGATCGCACTCCCGCAGGTCTGCCTGAGAGCTTCGCACTATTGTATTCTGTGGCGCTTTGTCAAGCAACTCCACCATCGGGCCCGGGTTCACTGTTTCTGACAGCCAGTCTGAAATGTGAAAGCATAATATAAATTAGCTTAAAACCTGGTATTAGTAGTACAAACATGTACAAAATGGGTAGATCCCTCAGTAAAAAAAAAAACAACTTTTAAATACATTAAAATACTTAGCAATAACCCCACTATCATTCATTTATTTGATACTGTACTTATTTTTGATATCTAGTTAAGATATGAGAAATAATTGTGCTATTTGACATAAAAATCTTATGAGATCACAACTTGCTATTTAATAAAAAATTGTCGCTTTTAACGTAATGAAAAAAGATAATATCCCATATATCAGCAAAATATAACTAACAATTTTAAGTGTGGGAGAGCCATGCTTCGGCACGAATGGGTCGGCTCGACCGAAGTGATACCACGGCCCCACAGAAAACCGGCTTGAAACAACCACAGCGTTGTGTTTCGCCGTGTGAATGAGGTTACCGGAGGTCCAATCCTTCTCCTCCCCAGACCCTTGCCCAATCCCCAAATCTCCAAATCCCTAATCCCTAAAAGGTCGGCAACGCACTCGTAACTCCTCTGTGGTAATCCGTCTGCTCGTTTGCCGACTTATTACATATAAAAAAACAAACATATAAAAAGAACTATACCTTCTTCAGTTCCATCGTCGAGTGTAATTCCTTCCTGGGAGTATCTCTCACGCGGAGCCACGAGCAGGGCTTCGTGGAACATTGCTTGCAAACGTTCCTGCAAAAATAAACATTTGTAGACATTCTAACTTCTGCCAGTGGCAGAAGAGCCTTATGTATTAATGCAGACTACAATCTATCTCAATGTTCACCAACTTCGTATTGAACGAATTCAAAAGAAATTTTTGAGACATCTCGCATTTTCATCTAGGGTACATAAACAACTGGCTTCATACAAAGAGAAATTGACATATTTTAAGATGGATAGTTTGTTAACACGTAGACGTGTAATAGACTTAACTTTTCTTTATAAGCTTGTAAGATGCCATTTTAATTGTCCGCCACTTCTGAAAACTGTCAGTTTGCGTGTGCCAACACGAGTACCTAGACGAGCGACGCTTAAGGTCGGATTGTTGCGTCGGCCATGCGCTAGAACCAATTTGCGAGATTTTTCTGCTATGTCTCGACTGCCGAATTTATATAATGAAATTTGTGGAAGCGTCGATATCTTTGCTGATACGCTACCAAAATTTAAAAAGGCTGTGATGGGATTGTTGAGTGTCCAAACTTAGTGCTTAATTTGTCTCGATTGTTTTATTGTTATTTTTTACTTTAATTTTATTGTTCCGCATAATTGTAGTATTTTTTTTCCCTTTTTTAAAATGTTTTTTCTAGTTTGTAATTGTAATTGTAATATACTAACTGTTGTCGTTACGTTACAGAGCATGTTGTGACACTTTAAAATGTTGTGCATTTGATTTTATTATTACTTAAGTTTTTAGATGTAAGTTTAAATGTAACAACTACTAGTTGTCCAAATAAATAAATAAATAAATAAATAAATAAATAAATAAATAAATCTCAGTGTTAAATTTCAATCAGGTCTGTTCAGTAGGTGTGACACACTGTAAATTGAATATTATAGATTCAAAAGTTTGTAAGAATGTACGGCTGTGTATTCGTCACTCCATCACGCGAAATTACTAAACAAATCGGAGCGAAATTCGGCGTTGGACAAGATAGGATGGGTTATAGACAGGAATAATAACTGGGCTACTTTATGGCTCCGCCACTGGCAAATGGTAACGAAAAAGGTTGTAAATTCGGGCCGAAGCTCAGCTGTCAAACATTTCAAAATAAAAGTTTTAAAAATTATCTTGAGAGAGCTCGGTGTGTGAGATGAGGCCTTTGTTCAGCAGAGAACATACAGGTTGGTGATGTAAGAACTCCATTCTCATAGTAACCATTTCCAAAAAACATTTTGATCATAAGGTTCCTATTAATAACTATCGTGAGACATTCTAAATTAATTATTATGTTTTCGCGACACGCGACTCGGCGACTGTAGAGAGTAGCAGCGTGACAGCCGCCGAGTCGCGGAATGCTGCTCATGAATATGGGCCTCTAGCATGGCTTGAAACTAGTCGAGTATCTCGTCAAATTATTACGTGAGTAAGCCAAAAACATAATAATTTATCTGAATGAATGTAAGAAATCGTTTCAGTGGAAAATAATAGGGTACTTACTTGTAAATAGTTGGAGAGTAGTTTAGATAGTGGGGCTCCACTCTGTTGACCCGCGCACATGGGGTTGTCTGCCCCCGGTGTATCCAGGAGCAGGATAGATGCTGAAGTACGCGCCGAGGTTGATAAACTCCTGGAATTATGATAGCAAGCGTGAAATATAGATATTGTAAAGATACAGTGTTTAGGTCGTTGTTTATACACGTAATAGGACCGACTTAATAATGTACAAAAGTTGATTGTGAATCTGATTGAAAAATGGTAGCCATGGAGATCCATGTTCATTCTTCACCAAAGGAATCTACACTTTGAAACGAGCCTTATAGCTTCACTAGAGCTGATAGGCTGAAGCTGTTTACATTTAATTATTTTGTATAACTTTCAACATTTTACTGGGTTTGACTTTGGAGTGCATAAAAGAAAATGTCAGTGCTTTATGTTAACCAGTTCGAGCGGTTTCACTTGTATATAAATTTGTATAATTATAAAATTTGATTCATGCTTATTTCAAAATACGTTTTGTTTCATTTACAACAAAGGTAAGAGAAAACATTAAAAGGGACGTGTACTAGACGTGGGTAAAATATTTTTCGACTGCAAATCATTGAGCAGTATCAAACGAGACAAGCTCTACTAGTTTCAAGTCTCAACGGGACTCTTATTCTTGTCGACGTCGCGCAGCCGACTCATTAAATCAGTATATAAGTACAATACCGCCGACCGAGTCTGAAGTTAGCCGATTAGCTGCGCAGTACACAATTTTGTTCCTAAAAGATCCATTGCGCAGACGAACGGCTAACTTCAGACTCGCCAAGAAACGGCGGCTGTTCTGTATGAATAAGAGTTCCATTATGATTTGAAACTATTAGACCTTTTACCACTTAATTCCCGTGAATAATTCGTTATTTTCAATACTTTTATATCATCATACACATACCTGTTAACTAGAGCGGCAATGATGTTGAAGGTCTCGTTGTACAAGCCAGTTACGAACGCGTCCACAGCCTCCGTGCCGGACATTTCGCGCTCGTTGGAGGGCGATGGAGTTCTGGAATATTCGAACGTGTTCTTTAGGGATGATTTTTCAATGGTTCGATAAAAAGTTATCTGGGGAATAATTATGATGCTGTCGCGTCAGAATGTTTGTGTAAGACAGTGACAGCAACAATTTTATTCCTTAGATGACATTTATCTGGCTATTGAAAAATCAGCCCTTAATAATCTATTTAAATGGCATACTTTTTTGAGGAGAGGATTGTCATCAATTTCCTTCTGTCACCTTGGGTGAGGCAAGAGGGAATGTCAGACAATTACTAACGTAAAATCAGTTACTTTACAGTTACAGTAAAACAATAAGGTTTAGAAAAATCAGTGTTATTTTCAAGAATCATTTTTTTGTTTTAAATCATTTTATCTGCGGTCCTTTGGAGCTTAGGCGATTTTTGCTAACGGTCGAATAGCCCGCGGGCCAATCGGTTAGGGCCGTTCAAACATTTCTATTTGTTACGGTCAAACTTCATTCCGAAGTTTTCCTTATTAATTCAAATACCGAACGCTGTTCTAGTCGATCAACTGTCATAACAGTTCGGTAGGTTTTGTAATCAGTATTTTTTATTGAAAAAATTAAAGGATTTCTTATTGAAAGGTACCTCAAGTTAGAGTTAGGTTGTGGCGATGTAGGAACGGTAACGAATATAGCCCTGGCGAGCTCCTCGGTGCCGACTCCCAGAAGTCGGGCGGCGCGCTGTCCGCAACCCGTGCTTGCGAACTGGTATTTGATTCCCGAGCCTGTGTTAGCTGGAAGAAAAAACATTCGTTTTTAGTAGGGTGACGTGAATACGTGACGTGAATAATAGCCCCTGGTGACTTGAACCTAGTAGAGCTTTTTTCAGATAATTCTTGTAAAATATTATAAAAGTAATGTTGGAATCGCTGATCAGATGTCCAAACTTCTTTCACTGATACATACGCTCCAATATTTCTGAGTAGGGTAGACTGGGTACGATTGAAACAAAGGACGGTTGAAACAGAGTAAATATCTCGTAAATGGTTACGCGGGGAATATGGGGTGTAAGGGGAAGAATAAGCGGACGACAGGTCCGAACCCGAATACAGTGCCGCTCCACATCCCACGCGTTGAGGCTGTGTGCAGGACGCCATATTGATTTTTATTACACAAAAGTAAGTATTTTTCTTCTGACATTAACGCTTTTATTATCTGTTATTTTTATGTGAATGTATTAAGGTGTGTGTTTGCGATTATTACGATGCTTGTAGAATAAGGAATAGTGACTATTTTTAATGTATTATGATTACTGTCGTAAATATAGAGTATATAATACGTAAAGTGGGCTTGGGGACGGTTGAAACATTTTTTGTGGGTACGGTTGAAACAGATTTTTTTTTTGTAGATTTTTGATTTCGAATCAGGAAGACTTCCAGAGGGAACATTGACTTATTGAGTTATAGTAATGCATATGAGGAGGTAAAAACTGGAGAAACCTTACGGAAAGCGGCGGAAAAGCATGGTATACACCAATGTTCCCTGATACATTCGAAAGCGAGATGCGACCGGTGGTGACGATATGGGCTATGAGAAGTGGATTCAATGTACTTCGTGTAAGCACATGAAGAATGCACAGAAGGTGGTCTTAGCTAGGTTTGTTATAATTCCGACTCTGAATACTCCGATTAATGCCTAAGCTAAATGTTTTCTCTAAGTTAATTCTCCATGTCTATTTTATGTAAACAGGGGTTTCTTTATTAGTTTATTTGATTTAAAAATATTTTCGTTTAGTTTACTCACAATGGTTATTTTATTAATTTTATAAATGTCTCTTAATTAGTGTATTTTCAAAGTTTATTTGTTTTTACCCGACTGCCAAAGAAGGAGGGTAATGTTTTTCGAGTGTATGTAAGTATGTATGTATGTCTTTTCCTTTGTGACCTCCTGTAGCCTAAACGGCTTGATGGATTTTGATGTATGAGGTATCGTTAGATTTGTCTTGATTACGGGAGTGTCATAGGATACATTTTATCCTAAAAGTCCCACGGGATAAAGACATAATAATATTTTTTCTAAATTTCCCTTTAAAAAAATATGTATGCGGTATCATTAGATTCATTTCAATCACGGGAGTAATTAATATAGGATACGTTTTTTCTCAAAATTCCCACGGGAACATGTTAATTCTGCGTCAACGCAAAGCAACTCATGCGTTAGCAAGCAAAAAGATAGGGCGTGGCCTGGCATGCGGCGCGCGGCGCGGTAAACAGCTAAAAAGTTATAAATAAAAAAATTATTATTAAAAAAACAAAATACCCGACTGCACACTAAAAAAAGAGTAAAACAAGCCCCACAATACAAATTTACTGAATATAATTTATAAATGTTGATGGAAAGCATCGCAGGCGGGGACCACCTTGACCGCCACCAACGAAAATTCTGCTAAATGGTGCACAACAGAAATGACTATAAATAAGCCTCTGTTGGTCCCCGCCTGCGATGCTTTCCATCAACATTTATAAATTATATTCAGTAAATTTGTATTGTGGGGCTTGTTTTACTCTTTTTTTAGTGTGCAGTCGGGTATTTTGTTTTTTTAATAATAATTTTTTTATTAAAGTTTATTCTGATACCTTTGTTCTGACTTTTGATACTAGGTACCGTTTTTGTAATTTCTCTAAATCTTTACTAGGTATTAGTCAAAGGCTGATAAACGTTTGAGGAGAATTAAAATCTTTAATACTGATTAATGTTGTGATAATTATTCATATAATTAGTATTAATTATAAATAAAATATATTTTATTAGTATTTATTGTTTTATTTTTATGTGTTTCAATTGACCCCAATCGCTGTTTCAACCGCCCCTGGCATGGGGACGGTTGAAACAAATTATAAATATTTTTTAATTTCGCATATTTCCAAAAATAGTAATTTGAGAACCATAATGACACTGCCATATCGTAGCTAAAACTTCATATTTGAATTTCATGTATCATAATGATCATTTGGTTAGTAAATGACAAAATTATTAATCAAATATGCCAAATTGTTTCAACCGTACCCAGTCTACCCATAGGCTATAGATTACACGAATTGCGTATTTTGTCTGTTGTTTTAAAAATCCCGGACTACATTACATTACATGCATAAACATGGAAGTTTGTGAGAACATTAATCAATGTGTTAATCCAGGGTTTTATACCCTAGTTTTCAATAAATTATGTATGATATCAAGTTTTATTTTTATTTAAATTGTATGTTACGGTCGGCAAACGAGCACACGGATTACCTGATGGTAAGAAATCAGCGCCGCCCATGGACACCCGCAACGGAAGAGTTACGAGTGCGTTGCCGACCTTTTAGGGATTAGGGATTCAGGAGGGATTGGGAGAGGAGAAGGATTGGGCCTTCGGTAACCTCACTCACACGGCGAAACACAACGCTGTGGTTGTTTCACGCCGGTTTTCTGTGAGGCCGTGGTATCACTCCGGTCGATTAATACGAAAATAACGAATCATCTTACCTTTAACAGCCCCCGCCCATCCCAAATGGCAAATGGCAGCCATGATCTTCCAAATAGCCATCTGCTCATTCTCAGTGACGGCCAGCAGCTGCAGCGCTTCCTTCAGCGCTGAGAACTCGGTAGGAGCGTCCGCATTTTCAGTGGAGCTGATGAAGGGGTTCGGCGTTGTGATCGGGGCCTGGTCGAAGAGGAGCTCGCGACGGAGACGACCGTCACAGCCGTGGTAAAGGCTGGAAACAAAGGTAGTTTATTTTAAAGGCTAGCATTATTTTGGACATGCCTGCCGCCACCTACTTATACCTCAGCAACTCCTGTAAGCCAGGATCTTCAGTAGATACAACCATGAAAACACCGGAACACTCAAGTCCGGCGCGCCCCAGGTACATGAATAACTGTTGTTTTGGATCCCACAGGGAAATAAATCAGAAGAAAAGACAGTTACATATTTCTATTTTCTATCCCCTCTTATTTTTGTTCTAAGACTTGAACCGTATGATTTCTCTGCATTACCCTATGGTTGACTGTTAGAGAATGCCTTAGGACATTAAATCCGCCATTCAGACTGTTTTGTGTGAAAAAGAAATTAATCCAAGGACTAAGTACTTCAGAGACATTTTTATGGTTTTAGAGTAAAATTATGCAGCTTACCGTTTATAGTCATGCAAACTAAACGTACTAAGTTTCACATCAATAGCTTAGAGATTTCTACTTCAAAATCTGAGTGCAAGATTCCATTTTTGTCTGTGAAGAGGACTCTTCTCTAAAAAGTCTCGTCGACAAAGAATAGATAAACCAGTGATCTTTTAAGAAACGATATTTTGTATGGATCTGTTCTGGTTGAAAGCACGCATGTGTCAATTTTACCCAAACCTCAGCTAAGAACAGCTGACACTTAAGCTAAGAAAACAAGTTCAATTCTCCGAACGTACGACCAAAAGAATATTTAGAAAGGTTGCACATATAATAACTTTAGACCTAATTAGAGATAAGAAACCAAATAAAACGGTAGGTAGTATTCGAGGTTTAATTAAGAAGACAAAAAAATGTTGAGTCCAAACAAAAATCAACTTTAAAATCACTCAACAATAAGGTTGAAAACTAAAGTTATGAATACGTTACAATACTCACGTATGCAGTGCTCTTAGCGGTGCCTGTCCAGGTTTGAGGTCGGGCAGTAGTATCTGCACTGACGCCGCAGCCAGGGCGCCGCCGCCATCGAAGTCCAAAGAGGTCAGTGACACAAAACGTGAAGCGTGAGGGTTGGAACCGGTCCTGGGAAAAGAGTCCTTAATATTTACACGAGAACATTGATTTTAGACTGTTACACCGTATGTCTTTTTTGAGTATATAAAACCCAACAAAGGGATAAAGGATTTGTTACAGAGACAGGCAGCCAAGTGTACGGCGCGCAAAGAGCCAATAGACCACCACAGACATGGCTCAACAGGGCAGATGTTAAGCCAGGGCTGCCTGTCAAGAGCAATAATTTATCGCTGCCCGGCTAGGAACATTCGGAGGAACCGGGTGGTTTTTAGTCAGTAAGCCCAGGCCTAGAAAGGCCCATTAAGAAAAGGGTTATTTCACGCCGGTTTTCTGTGAGGTCATGCTATCACTCTTATGGAAGTGCTCCATTCGTACCAATTGAGTTACTGTTAAACTTAGATCAATAATAATAATTATACAAGAAACTTTACCTTGTAGATCCGAACAGGTGCAGTACATCAAACGCGGCATCCAATCGTTCGGGTGTCAGCTTCGAACCCTGCGCCGGGTAAGTACTAGCTAGGTACCACACACAGTGACGCATCGCTGATGTTTTACCAGAACCAGACCTGGGTGATGGTGAGAAAAAATATTTTAGATTAAATACAATTCAATTTTTAACATTCCATTTAAATTGATGACTATGTCAAGAACCTCCCACGACACAGGAGAAATACCTAGTGGGGTAATGTCCCTACATAGTGGGGTAAAGTTTTTTCTGTGATAGGTCGGCAAACTAGGTTGCTGATGGGGGGTGGCGGGGTAGGGTAGGGGAAGGTACGGGCCTCGGGCAACCTCTCTCACACGACGAAACACAACGCTGTGATTGTTTCACACCAGTTTTCTGTGAGACCGGGATATCACACCGGTCGAGCCAACCCATTCCTATTTATAATAAGAATAATTATTTACAGGGATGGTATAAAATAATAATGTATTAAATTAACTAAAAATCGCGGGTTACTCACGTGTAAATATTGAGAAAAGCTCTACTAGTTTCGAACCACAGAGGGGTTCTTCTCACAGTAGGCTGCGCGACGTCGCCGCGTCCGCGCACGCTGCTTATGAGGAAGAACCCCTCTGTGGTTCGAAACTAGTAGAGCTTTTCTCAATATTTACACGTGAGTAACCCGCGATTTTTAGTTAATTTAGTATGTCTCACGATAGCTTTTACAAAAACATAATAATGTATTCTGAAAACAATATTATACACACCTACATTAACGTTAATACAATAAATATAATTATGTATTCAATTTCATCCAGTTTACATCCGCAATGCACAAAATGTCAGGACAAAAATAAACATAACAATTAACATATAAAAAAAATAAATACGACGATTTATATTTTATATACCCAATTATATATAATTATAAAAGATTATTAGTACCCAAGTATGGTTCTCCTACATAAGTTTTTGTAACACATGTAGAAAGAGAACTATAATACAAAGCAAGAAAATGAATACTCTATATTTTAAAAACACAATCAACAATAAATCAACCTTATAACATTAATAATAAAGCCTGAAACAGGTTGACAAGCAATTAATTAGACAATTAATTTGCCAATAAAATATAAACCAATTACAAAAGCGACACTATTCGACCTTCAGCGTCCGTATTACGTATGCTAATGGCGATAGAAATAGTATTATGGTAATAGAAAACGAGTAATTTTTATGGCATTTTTGCCTATCTCCGCGTTTATTATTTATTTTCAATTTCAAATTGGTTTTTATATGTTTTTACGATGATTAAATTAATATTATCTTCGTGTTTCATGAAGTAGGTATTTTATAACTGAGATTAATATATCTATAAAAGACAAAGGCCTAAATTTGTGGGTTTATTTCCTGAACTCAATTACTGACAATAAAATTAAATTTACTTTTAATTGTAGTGTTCGATATAAATGAAATTATTATTTAAAATTTTATATCTCAAAATTAATTTAAATATATTGAATACTGGCGGTCTGCCTCTGTTTTGCATGGGTGTCTCTATCTCTATCGATAACTACGAAAGGATAGCTGTTTCCAAATTTTCCACTACTTATATGTTTTTAATATTTTTTAATATTTTCTGCCATAAGAACCATTTCCTGGTGATAAATATCCAAATAACATAAAAAACAGAATTGGCAAAATTGATTCAGCCTATATTGACTTAGGTATGTGCTTACCAACATTCATTATTTTGAGATATAATCCAGATCCATGTCAAAACTTCAATACACAATTATTCTCATATAGTTTACCAAAGTTCTTAACTTCACACCTTTTAATCTTCAAGGGTACAGACAGATATACACATTTACGGTATGTACCTATATCATCCAATTCTCACCCGGGTACTTCATTTACTAAAAAGTTTATACTTAATGTAAAATTTTCAATGCGATAAAATACTTTAACTCCGTTAATTATAAGTTTGCTATTTGACTCAAAAACACATGACGTCACTGGCCATAAACAAATACATAATTTATAATAAAAACTGTCAATTATGAAAATTCAAAAAAGGAATTGAATTTGACTAATGGCCGCCCTATATATGTATATACTTTGATTAGGTATGAGTTTTATTTCGTTTAATTGTTTATAGAAGAAACCAATTCTTGATTACATTTCTCAATCATTAAATATTATTTTTTATTTTCACTCGAATAATACATTAAGACACTACATGATACACTCACTCACAATATATCATAGAATACAATCACACTGACACAAACTTGTCAATAATCAAATTAAGACATATCCATACTAAGTGACATATCGGATAGTATCAGAGGTGCGTTTGTTAATAATTAGCCACTTTTTACTACAATAACTGCCAATTTTAAAAATATATGTTTAATAACATTTTCTAGAGAGTAGTCAAATATCTGGGATACTGGTAAGAGTTTCAAATTTCGAAAAATAAAACACATCTACGCATATGTAATTAATGCCTTTGGAATCCCAGTCTATTGGAAGTACATGATGTATTTTTAAACCTTGCAACTATAACCTCCAAAATTAAAATCAGAGTCCTCTTAAACATGAGAATGATATTTAATACGAACCTTCCGAGAAAGACGATGGCTCTGTCTCTACGCGAGGCCAGCATACAGCGGTGTGTGGATTGCGCAGCTGCAAACACGTGGGGCGGCATATCATCAGCTCGGCATCCACGGAACATGGCCGCCACCTGGAAACCAAGGTATCATGAATTAAGTGAAGGAGTAAATTGGAATGGTGCTAGAACATAGTTTTGTTTTCCTCTGCGGTAAAATATTTTGATCCAATGCAAAAGTTTGTCCAAAAACCTTCTGACAGATGGAGTTTTATTGTTTTCTTCATTTGGCTAAGTTGAGAAAGAAAGAAAAGAGCTTGATGGACTTTGTTTGTTACAGCAAACAACATAAATGATCGTGTGTGGGAGAGCCATGCCTCGGCACGAATTGGTCGGCTCGACCGGAGTAATACCACGGCCTCACAGAAAACCAGCATGAAACAACCGCAGCGTTGTGTTTCGTCGTGTGAGTGATATTACCGGAGGCCCAAATCTTCACTTGCCCCAATCTCTCCCCAAAGGGTCGGAAACGTACTCGCAACTCCTCTGTTGTTGCGGGTGTCGATGGGCGGCAGACATTGCTTACCATCAGGTCATCCGTCTGCTCGTTCGCTTTGCTCGCCGACCTGTCACATTGATGTAATTTTACCTTTTCCGTGTAGATGGGAGAGGTGCGCTTCGGCGGCCCAAGTACCAGGAGAGCATGACCTGCGCGGGCGTGCGGCAGACCAGCTGCGTATCGAGAACGTAGGACATTCAGAGCGCCGCACTCGTTGAGGCAGCGGAGAGACGCTATGTCTTCGCATCGTTCTAATTGAGGAGGATTTGCCTGAAAATATGGTTAAAATGAGGAATAGTGTCTCATTTTGTTTTACTAGGCACTTTCTAAGTGTATTTAGACACTACTGACAAACGGTGATCGAAAACATCATGAGGAAATCTGGATTTATAATTAAAAGTTTCCAATCACCAAACTGCCTTTAGCAAGCGTGGTGGTTATTGGTCAAACCTTCGCTGTATGAGAACATGCCTTTGGTATTTACCACTGATGATGAATAGTGTTTTAAGTTTTGAACTCATTTTCTTTACTGGATATACACTAGTACTGCTGGTGGAGCAGATGTTTGTTGATCACGTACTGAGTCAGTTTATTTTTTTAAATGGTCGTAGTATCGGATATCCGTACTGATCCTGTGAAGGTTAATTCCGAAAGTTCCTCTTTGGCAAAGGTGAGTCCGACAGACTAGAGTTTTCTACCAATTATTATTTTAATCCTAATCTTCTTCAAACGAACTTGTTGTAGACAATTCAGATGAATAATTCATCCTCTCTTTGTCATACTCAAAGCTATCGCCATACAATGGTACAGCAGTTTCTATCTGTCCTTTACCAGCTGAAATTCCTAAGTAAATCAGTCCTAAACCAACACGCCAGTTTCTCTTACCTTCTCCAAATCATCTTCATCCACAGTTAGGATCTCCCCAGTCTGCAGCACCCTGACCTTGGCCCTCCCAGCGTCTGCCTCTCCCTCTCGCATTACAGCAGTGAACCCGCCTCGGTGAGCCAGCCACATGTGACCAGCCTGCAGCCATTCTTTCTCGCATGCTAGTTGTTCTTCTGATTTAGCCTGTGGAGGGAAAAATGAAACTCTTAGAGGCAGTTGAAGAAGACGGCAAAGACGAACATATTAAGAGACTTTTTTGTACAATACCAATACAATACCAAACTTGGACAATCAAATATGTACACTAATTAATATATTACTACATGGTTAATTTGGTCCATGTATTGACTTGATTTATTTTTCGCTGTGAATCAGAACGAATCAAAAAACCATTTTATATGGACATCAGAAGAGTTGGTTTTTAACCAAATCATTTTGGAATACTTTCATTTGAATGTTCAATTTTTGCGGATTTCTTTTTTAATGGATAGAAATAATGTTACCATAACAATTTTCACAGAACATTGCACGCGCTCAGTACCGCAGTACAACACGAGAGCGGGATAGGAACTGAGCTATTACGTGTAATGGATGTCTCGCTGACTGCTTTTACGACAAATTGCCATCATGTGTTCGCGCTAATACAGATCATAAGTGTGTAGTGAGAAAAAGAATGACATTTTTAATACCTATATTAGAAAATAAGTGATATTTTACGAAATGATAGCTAATAGCTGTTTTTTTTTGTTCTTTTTTTGGTTTTTGCCTTTTTTAAATCAGTCTTTTAATTATATTATTTGTCTATCCTATTAATCGTAAACATTATTTCCGCGTATTCATCCAACATGTAACAATACATCTTAATGTACTTATGTTCAGTAATAAAAATATTTGATTTAAAAGCTTATGGTCACTGTTAAATGTGTACCTACTCTTAAAGTATTTAGGTCTTAGGTACCCGCGGGAAGAAACAAGTGTAGGGACAAAATGTATCTGATCTATCGTAACCAACACCAACAACATCATCAGCCTATAAGTGCCCACCGAAAAGGATTTGAGTTTGAGCATCAATCACCACGCTTGCTCAAGGCGGATTGGCGATTTCAAACTTACAATTAGAAATTATAAGTCCAGGTTTCTCACGATGTTTTCCTTCACCATGTCAGTGGTATCTTAATAATCATAGAAAGTACATACATATAACTTGGAAAAAGTCACATTGGTACTTCCAAATTTTCGAACCCCCTCATCATGTATGAGAAGCAGAAACAGCCTAAACCTCCCCGGCCAACCACGACGCTATCGTAACCACAAGACATGAAATAAATGGTTAAAAAGCGGTTCTAAATTCTTATAGTAAGTGTTAAAGGCAATATTCCTGGTACTGACAACACGCGAAAGCTGGATATTTTCTAACCATTAGGTTGTTAACGGCGCCGGCGTCGCGTACGAGTTAAATTTAAGTATCAGTTAACTGTGGTTACCGATAATGGAGTTTAGTGAAAGATTTTTATTGATACTTCGTCCGTTATTATTGTTTTAAATTTAGTGTGTCTAGAATATACAGTCATGCTTCAGCAGGCAAATGCTCGTCAGGCGTGATGTAACGGTCTCATTGAAACGCGGCGTGAAATAACTACGGCGTTGCGTATCGCCGTGTGAGTAAAGTGAGGTCAAGTAATCTGTCTGCTCGTTTGCCAGGCTAGATTTCTTCTCTTAACCATACGGACAAAATTGAGTTACAGCTAGTATTACATACATCAAATTAGCCCATTGAATTTGATTCATAATAACATAAATTATAGGTTAACTTACACTACATAAATACTGTTTTGTACCTTGAGCGCCTTCGCGAATCCTACGCAGTACGAACATATCTACATGTGTCAATTAAAAAAAAACTTATTCCCAGCACCCACACTAATAAACTAGGAAGTTAAGTCTTATGCGCTTACGCAGCCTACACACACAAAGGCAAATGTTTCCGTAATTATACACACAATTGAAATAAATAAAGGGTTGTATTTAGTTGTGACCTCCGCGTGATTATAATTATGGTGAAACCTTAATAAGCATGTATTATTTGTGATTGGGCAAAATGGCAAAATGAAGGATATAAATCGAGGTTTATTACTGAATAGAATAATTAGTTAGAATAAATTATTACCGCTAGGATTGGTGTTCTAGAGTGAAGTCCACGTCTAAGCAAATCTAGCGTAGGGCGCCAACCAGCTAAGTGCACGGCCGGTACTAGTAAGGTAAGGTGGCTGGCTGGTATTAGTTGTATGAGACGATCTGAACATCGAGTTAAGAGGCGTGCAATTGGGGAGACCTATGTCCAAAACTGGACGGAATCAGGCTAATAATGATGATGAGAATAATTATACAATAAATGATGACTTTTAGCAAACCAATCAAACCGAACCAAACGTTCACAAATGACCATATTCTGGCTAATAAATGACGACTGATAACAAAAACAACCTTTCCAAAAACATTAGCGGCCAATAAACAACAAAGCCACTTTCGTAAGGCCTTAAATAATATAATAAGTGGAAGTTAGACAGATTGCAAATATTGACATGAAAATGCAGTATTGCGACTTATATGATGAAGATGGTAGTGTATTTAGGCGACGAAACCCAAAATGTGGAAGTTTTCTAAAGAGCCAAAGTTACCAATAAAGCTTATAAAATCTGCAATGATCAAGGTCACATCGCTACAGGAACGGACGGCCGATGGGCCCGAAAAGTACTCGAATGGCGACCAAGGACCGGAAAACGTGGGCAGGCCTTCCGCTAGGTGGACCGACGAGGTCCACCTAGCGGAAGGCCTGCCCATCGTCAGAGTCGACATTGTCGTTCGATGTGGATAAGTTGTTGTGGTGACCAGAGATTTAGACTGGTTCAAAATAACTTTAAATTCAAAGTCTAGCAAGAACCAATGTACATTCTATGACTATTTAGACACTACTGCCATACGACGAAGGAAAACATCGTGAGTACGCGTGGTGATTAATGCTCAAACCTTTTCCGTGTGATAAGAGGCCTTTGCTCAGCAGTGGGCTCTTATCACAGGCTGATGATGAAATGTGTGGACAACTAAGGGCGTGGCCTTTGGTCACCTGTAGATGTCTTCCGGCTGATGATGATGATATAAAATGAATATTCCGAAGATGGAGTAAGAGTCGGCTTGCTTCTTTCATACACATGTATGTATACATGTGTATGAAAGAAGCAACAAAACAGCCGTTAAAACCGACTCTTGCGCATTGCGTCACAACCAATGATAGCAAAGATTGTCCAATAGTTAGCCAGCTTGACATTTGACGGATTAACCACACCCATATAACGATTTGTTCAAATAATGAAATGAAATCTTTTACTTGCGAAATGACTTAGCGTGCGAAATGTTAAATTTATTTGCTGGGTGGTCCTGTATTGTCATACGGCCGAAAAAATGTATTGTTTGTTCGCAATGATTAGGTTCAAAAATTTAAGGCTTATTGGAAAATTTACTTAAACTATGTATTACTTTTTATAGTTACCTACAAGTTTTTGATATGTATACCTTATAAAATAAACATTCAGTACAGAGTAAGTAAAAACACATCCACAACACAGGAGAAAATCCAAGTGTGAATAACGTTTTTTTTTAAATATAACTTGTCTGTGTACTGCTGCAACTGTATTTTTAATTTCTTTTGAGCATACCAAAGAGAAATGAAAGAAAAAGAAAGAAAGAAAAGACTTTGTGATATTACTGCCAAAAATTCCCCATAATGTCGTAAAAAATTACCCGACCCGGGAATCGAACCCAAAGTATCGTGCTCGGAAGTCATTCGGCTAAGGAATCAATCAATGAACCAGCTTGTCTGTCTGTCTGTCTAAGCATTAAAAACTGGGACTGTTCCACGTGTACATGGCAATGGTACTAGCTACCAGGTACCAGGCGCTCATAAACAAACAAGAGGTTGACCGTAATAGCCGGTCGTAAAACCATAGTAGGCACCGCAAACAGCTGTCAAAACCGTTTGACCAGAGAATGTTGTATGCCATTTTAGGACTTATCTTGATAAGAATATGGTATCTTATCAAATGACGGAGTATAATGAATATTTAGTACTTCTGGATATATTTGCAGTTTTGTAGAAACTAGGTGGTAAATAAGCTTGATGCAAAGCAGTTACCAAGGAATAAATCCTAAGAACTCTTGTTTTTAAGAATTATTTAAAACTAAACAAGCAAACAATTTGACTTCATTAACTCAAAATCGAAAAATAAATCAATACAAATTTAAAGCAATAACCATTAAATATAAATTATGTTATAATGAAATTAGAGTCTTATTGGCTCATAAATAAAACTCATAATTCATATAATATTGGAAAGAAATCATGTTAAAGTATCATAAAAGAAATGAAAGAACATTATAAATTGTTACAACATTTCTTTTACAGTTAAGTTAAACGATTTTCACTTTTATTTGGCTGAGCATAAAATAAAAAGTAGCTGCACTAAAATTGCAAATTTATTTTAGCATCTAATGTCATTCTTATATCTGCGCAATATAATTTAAAACTGTCTGATTTATATGTAAATTATAAATGTACGTAGAAGTATGTTATTTAGAAGATTTTATGCAAGTATTATTTTGCCTTTTTAAATAAAGAATCGTATATTTTTTTTAATTTATAATCTGATTTGTATTGGACAATATTTGTACGAAATTTATTAAAATATTTGATTACGGCGCAACTGTGACCTTGCACTTTTTGTATGCTTTTTCTTGTCAGGGGAAAATCATCAAATGACTTCGCCCGCCCAGGATGAGGGGGAGGGAGTGTCAGACTCTTACTGACTAAAACCCCTTCGTTCCTTCTCCTGCCCTAGGCCGAGGCCGCGGTGCCTTATTGCGCCTACCCCGCAACCCTGACTGAACCAGTATGCATACATGCCTGGCTTGGTAAATCACTTATCTTGGTCATGATGACTGTCCAAAATACGAGTGCCTAGGAACCTTTAAATATTCATTTTGTTTTAGTACTAATTAGGTACCAAAGCAGGGACAGAAATACATATATCTGTCCAAAGTTGCACTTATCTGGGTTATAACAGTTCATTAGATACAACTTGGTAACAGACAATACGGTAGTTTCTAACTAATCAAATTCGATACGAAAT